TTTTTTTTTTCTTGATGCTTTTCGCAGAGGTAGTAAGGGATAGGCATGTCCATTTATTTTGGTGGGGAAAGATGATTTGATTTGGTCAAGGCACCACTGTATTGCTGTGGTTTATTGTTTGTTTTGAGTGACATGGGACTGTTGGGTTTAAAATAAGTGTAATATTGTTGGAAGGATAAGTTGAACGTGACTCACCAGGTTTGACTGTCTTCAAGCGAACCGGCTCCCGAAAGTGTCGAATGACGGCCAGCGTGTCCCGGTTGGTAAGTCCACTGACGGGCGTCCCGTTCACCTCCAGCAGCACGTCGCCGTAGTAGGGCAGTTTCCCGACGTGGCACACCAGCACGTCCAGCTTCATCTGACCCAGGTGCGGGAACTGGCCCAACTCGGCGCCCCCCAGGACCTCCACCACGGAGCCAAAGTCGCCCAGGTTGCCCCACGACACCGCGCACTCCACCACCTTACCGGACCAATGTTTCTTCTTCTTCAGGGTTCTGGACATGTTGCCTGTACCTGGCTACCTTGATCTGACAAATCGAGATTTTTTTTTATTTTTTATGACACGGCCTATTAAACCGGAGCGAGTGATTCTCCAGCTCGTTTCATCTCCAGGAGTGATTCCCACACATGGAAGGTGTGCCGGAGTGTCATCCGCGCGGTAATTCCAGCGAGCGCTCCTTGTGCGTAAAACGCGACGAGGTGCAGCAATCACGGCGTCGCTCTCCTCCACTTAATACATTTTTTTAAAAAAGGGCAAAAATAGGACGTCAACGCGGCGGGTTTGGACCACAGCACGGCAAACGAGCGATAACGCTCAGACACAGACAGGCAGGCGGCTCCACTCTGTGTGTGCGTGCGCGCAGTGGAAGTCCAGCCCACGGTAGCGGAGGCATCTGATTCCGTTGCAGGTTTGAACACACCTGGCTTCGCCAAGACTCGTTCCAGCCCAGGTTCCGTCTGGAACGGTACGCCCCCTTTTAGTTGCTGTGCGCACTGACGCCTTTTGAGTTTGCGTGGCAGCTGGTGTTGGCGCCATCTTCTGGAGATATACAGCGTAGATCTAAGTGTCCTCAATTTCACCCTTAAAATGCATCCACCCCAATTCACTTTGAAGGCGTAAAAACAGTAGCGATCCGAGCTTGAATGGTT